ATCATGCCAAGGGAACGAGGCAGACGCAAAAGCTCACATATTGTGACGATTCTGCTTCTGTGAAACATCCAGAATAGGCAGATCCACGGACACAGAAACCAGGTTAGTGGTTGCCTGGTGCTTGGAGGAGAGGAGGATGGGGAGTTAGAGCTCATGGGTTCAGGGTCTTCTTTTGGGGTGACGAAAACATTTTGGAACTACACAGAGGTGGTGGTTGTACAACACTGGAAATGTACTAAGTACTACAGAATGAGATCCTTTAAAATGGTTAAAATGGTGAATTTTGTTATGTGAATTTCACCACAATAAAAAAAATTCGTGTAATCGCTCGTGCCTCAGTTTCCCTGAACTTCACACAGCTGTTGTGTTTGAGAACACAACAAAATGACGTATTCAAGGAGCTTGACAGACACCCCTGTCAACAATAGCAGCCGCTCTTTTCATTTTATTTTATTTTGTTTTATTTTCTCAAAACCATTCTTCTGCCCCTCTGCCGATATTCAGAGGTGAAGTGACTCGGCCGAAGTCACACCGTTAGGCAGGGGCTGTGGCAGCCCTCTGACCGGCTGGGTCTGGGCCTCGGCTTATTGAGGTAACCATGCCCTGCTTACCTCCTCAGAGAGAAGGGCCATCTCCGGAAAAGAGGACGTTCAAATGAAAAGTTGCCACCAACTCCCCACCCTTGGCTGGGTGCGTTAGCAAGAGCCTTGAATCTGCCAGCCACCAAATGAGCCCACACGGGGCTCGATCCCACGACCCTGAGATCATGACTTGAGCCAAAACCACGAGTTGGGCGCTTAACCCACTGAGCTACCCAGGCACCCCCACCCCCCACCCAAATGATCTTTCTAGAATCAAACTGTATCTTGAGACCTTAGGCCCACTCTAAGCTTCTGACTTTTCTTATGGGACCAGGTCCTGTGCATCGTGAGCAGCTGAAAACAGTCTCGATGTTTATGTACTGAGAGCTCACTCTGTGCCCACATCTGTCGGGGGCCAGGAGGTGGTCAGAGTTAGGGGATGTGATGGGAGCTTAATAAAGGGCCCTTCACCCGAGCAAGGGCCGGGGATCAAGTCTGTGAGACAGGTGACAAATCTGCACTGAGCGTGCCACACATACGTGCACACTCCCCAAGGAGGGCTCGGGGGACAACTCCTGCTCTCTTAAAACTGGACAGCACCCTCTGTCTCAAGCTAGGACCAGGAGCTTGTGGACACGGGTCCTAATTTGGTCTTTAGCCATGATAAGCTTTGGGCCAGTCCCTCCCCTTCCTGGGGCCTCAGTCGCTCCCTCTTTATAAAATGGGAGTTTGGGTGACATCGAAACCTCCCTCCAGCGCTGTCCCCTCTGCCTGAAATTCTCTCACCATCCCTCTTCCCCAGCGGGTGGCTGCCTCACCCGGCACAGATCACCTGTACGTCACTTCCTAGAGGGAGCCCCGATGTTATCTAGCTCAGTGCTCCCTCAGGGGACACATCACATTCCCAGATAGTCTATGCGGTTGGAGGGCATGCCTGCCTTGGCCGCTGCCTGCCCCATCCTCAACAGCAAGCAGCACGTGTACCAGCCTGCAGCTAACGAGCAGGTGGAGATGTCCGCACACATCTACTGACCTTCACCACTACACCAGATTCTGTGCTGACGCAACTTAAATCTGCAGTTAAGTTAAGCAGAGTCATGCCCAGGACCCAGCAGGTCCACTCCTCGGTAAATGCCCCAAAGAACTGAAAGCTGGGGTTCCAACCAAAACGCTCCTAGCAGCCTAAAAAGTGGAAGCAGCCCAGTGTCCGGCAACAGATGGACGGATAAACAAAACGTGGAATATTAGCCTTAAACAGGCACGGAGGACAGATGCACGCTACATACGGATGCACCTGGACATTGCTCCGCTTACGTGGAAGAAGCCAGTCACAAGACCAAGTATCGTGCGATGCCATTTATGTGAAGTGGTCTAGAACAGACAAATCTGCAGGCACGGAAAGTTGATTAGGGGTGGCCAGGAGCTTGGGGAAGGGGGACATAAAAAGTGACTGTTACAATGTGTACAGGGTTTCCTTTGGATGTGAGAATAGTCTGGAACTAGTTAGAAGTGATGGTTGCACCACTTTGTAAAGGTACTCGATGCCACTGAATCACTCACTTCATTTTCTTTTAAAGGTGTATTGATTTATTTGAGAGAGAGTGGGGGGGAGGGGCAGAGGCAGAGGGAGAGAGAGTATCCTCAAGCAGACTCCCTGCTGAGCGTGGAGCCGGACTCGGGTTCCATCCCAGGACCCTGAGGTCATGACCTCAGCCGAAATCTAGAGCCAGCAGCTTAACCAACTGAGCCCCCCAGGTGCCCCTGAATCACTTTAAAATGGTCCAAATGATCCATTTGTATGTATTTTGCCACAATAAAAACATACTTGTACGTCACTCCCCTTTCGGGCAGGAGGCAGCATGCGGGACAGGAAAGAGCATCAAAGGACACAGAGACCAGCTGAGCTCTGCCCCCTATGCTGGGTGCCCTTGGGTAGTGAGGGAACCTCTCTACGCATCTCTGTCCTCTCCACATTCCGGGTCTATTGCTCTTGGCTCTGCAGGACCTCAAAGGGCCCAGAGGAAGCTTAGGTAGGAGACCCCATTGTTTCAAAAAATCGTATTATGGCCATGAAAACAAAACAGGGACAGAACTTTGGGCTCCACACAGACAGGTGACGTGCCTTAGGTTGGCCCAGACTTCGTCCTTTTTCCAAAGGGCCCTATTTCACCTTGTTCTCACAAAATCCCTGGAACAGAGGCAGGCCAGAGAGGAGGAGTATTCTGAGCGCGAGCTGCCAATGGGTCTGCCCCGGCAGGCTTTCAAGAGTGTACGTATGGGTGCACACAGGGAGCACCCAGGGGAGCCTTCAGGTGCCCACCTGTGCGGGTAAGGGCACGCCCGTGTCGCTGGCAATCTGTCTTGGTAAGTAAGGGCGAGGGAAGCGGCAGTCACACCGGCCTCAGGGCTCCTGTTGGCACAGTATGTCCATTCTCACCTCTGGCCCTTTGCACACACGCTGTTCCCCGGGCCTGCAAGGCTCGTACGCTGTCTTTGCTTCCTGACGCCGTTATCACAAACTACTCCAGACCTAATGGCTTCCAATAACACACATTTGTTATTTTACAGGTCTGGAGGTCGGGCTCTCACTAGGCTAGAATTAAGGTGTTTCTTGCTGGAGGCTGGAGGGAGATTCTGTTTTCTTGGCTCTTGCAGCTTCTCAAGGCTGCCCCCTTGCCAGGCTGGTGGGCTTTCCTCTTCCCTCTTCAAAGCCAGCAACACGGCATCTCTCCGGCCATTCTTCCACAGTCACATGTCCCTCTGAACACTCAGGAAAGATGCTCTACTTCGAAGAGCTCCTATGATGACAGCGACTCCATCCCAGATAAGCCAGGATAATCCCCCAGCTCCAGATTCTTAACCTTGATCACATCTGCAGAGTGCCTTTTGCCATGCAAGGAAACATATTCACAGGTTCTAGGGCTTAGGACTTGGACATCTTTGGGGGCCATTGTTCTTTCTGTGATGATCACTGCCTCCGACCTTGACCTCTCCCATTCATTCAGTGACCTCCTGCCCACATTTTGGGCACCTGAAATGTCCCACACACCGTACTGGGGAACAGAGTGGTGACCAGGACAAACCCACCCTCTGCCATGACGGACCTCCCAGACTGATGGGTCTCAAATATAGATGATCACTGCCTCTAGGAAGCCCTCCCTGACTGTCCAGGGGACTCCTTTGTGCTCTCCTGTCCCCAGGTGCTACCCCCATCCCAATGCTGTCATCTTGTAAGGGTCAATGACCCATCTCTTCAACTAGATTTCTTAAGGTCAGGAAGTGTGTCTCACTCACCTCCATATTGCCAGGGCCCCCATCTAGCACAGAGTGGGTGCTCAGGACACACCAGTTGAATGGGTGAATCTGGGTCTCATCCTGGTTTCTCTGCTTCCTGGCTGTGTGACCTTGGGCAATCCCTTTTCCTCTCTGAACCCCCTTTTGCCATTTCTACAGTGGGTATATGCAGCAGCACCTGGCTTCAGACGTTGTTGCAAGAATTAAACCAGACAAGGTCCATCCTGCACATTGTAGGTGTTTAACAGGCCGGCAGTTTCTTTTTCTTTTTGGCCTATTTCACGGAGGCAGATTCTGAGCCAAGTGACCCTTTGGGCTTGATCCTGGGCCTCAGCTGTCTCCATTCAAGAAGTGGGTTATAGGGGCATTCATCACAGCCTCATCTATGTGAGGCGCACAGTATGGCTCCAGGTGTCACCCTCCTGAACATAACTCCCCCCTCGGAAGCACCAAATGCCACTTTCAGAAGACAGGTTAGAAGTTTGAAAGCTACATGTTACCTGGATATTCAGCAAGAAAGCCACAGGAAAGATGAAACCATATCTATCTGCACACAGTAGGTGCTTACATCCACATCACGTGCTGGTGAAAGTCTGGACTTTGGAGTCAGGGAGAACTGGATTCAAATCACCACTCTCCCATAACCAATATACTGACCTGGAACAAGTCCCTTCAACATCTCTGAACTTGATTTTTCTCCTAAGCAAAATGGGATAAGAAGAGGACCTGCTTGCAAGGAAGAAATAAGATGAGAGATAAAAGCGCCTGGCGCATGGTCTGGTCTGGAAGGGACCAGATCATTGTGAAAGCGATGATGATCAAAGAAAAATCTCATCACCACCGTTGAGGCACAAGCCAGGAGAGAGGGCCCCTGGAAATTATACAAGGTCAGCCTCCGATTTCCCATAACTCAGCGACTCCTACTCGCCTCACAACTTTGGAAAATATTCTCTTAGCATTTGCAATTCTTGATCTGGGCCCAACACTGAAATTATTGCAGACATTTGTTGTTGTTGTTGTTGTTGTTTTTTCTCCTCTTCTTTTTGACAGCTTGAGCAAAAGGAGCTGTTTTTGAATTTCAGGAGGGGAAAAACACACATGCGTGCGCACACACACACACACACACACACACACCAAACAGCATCATTTTGCAGGACAGAATGTGCCCTGTGCTCAAGCGCAGGAGGCCCCAGCCCCGCTCTGGCCAGCCTCACAAACACTTAGTGTCACTGCAGGTTATGTAAGCGTGGTTTGGGCCCACAAGGTTGGACGTGGCCTTGGGTTTTAAAGGAGGCAGAGGAGTTTGGGTGAGAAGCTCTTTGGCTCAAAATAAATCCAGGAACTCAGTGCAGGGGAAGAAAAAAAATTCTCAAGACTCCAATGGAGGGAATATTTAGAGGTAGAGTTTAGAGCATCAAGAACTCAGAAAACTCAGGCCAGAGTTAGGTCAACGTGGTTTCCTGTGCCCCATCATGTATGTGAGTGAGGCTGAGAGGCCAGGGAATGTAGGGTGGGGGTCATAATGTGACCCCTTCAGTGGGATGAAGGGCAACATGCAGACCACATGACTCCTGGAAGGAAAACATCATTTCTTAATATTTTCAAAAATGGTTTTTGCTTTTGTTCACTGAGTTTACAGCCCTTCTGCTGGGGCCCCCGATTTAGTGATTCCTATTGGCCAGGGAAGCCAGTAAGCAAGATGTTTGATCCGGGGGTGGGTGGGAGCAAGGGATGTAGAGTACCCAAATCATCCTAACTTGCCTGAGACCTTCCCAGCATTAAAACTGAAAGCCTCACATTCAAGGAAACCCCTCAGTCCACGGTGAACAGGGAGAGCTGGTCACCCTACAAGACAGAGTAATAATGATGACTATCACAGCCATTATAGACCGTCTTCTAAGTGCCCCTTGTCATGCTAAGGCTTTATATAAATAAATCATCTTTTCAGGGATATTATGCCCATTTGACAGAGCAGGCAACTGAGACTCAGTGGGGGAAGTCAAACAGCAGGAGAGTGGAAGACCCTCACAGGCTTTTATTAAAATCAGAGATCCCTGGGCCCTATCCCTAGAGAATCCAACTCAGTGGATGAGGGATCTGCGTTTTATAACACACCCTCCTACCGATTCTATGAGCAAGTAATTTCAGTGTGCAAAGCTCTACCCAGCTCCACTGGGAATGGCCTTGGAGAGCTGAACACAGAATGGAAGTTCAATGGAGACAAGCACTGAAGCTGAGGGAACGGCATGAGGCAGGGCATAATGTTGTGGGGACTGATGAGTGTGTACCTGAATAAAATGCCCTTGAGGGACAGAGCAGGAAAGGAAACTGCTGTTGACAGGCCCAGTTCTGGGGGGCTTGAACACCAGGCTAAGGAATTTGGACTTTATCCTGAAGGCACTGGGGAGCCATGGGAGGATTTAAACAGCAGTTACAGGGTTAAATTTGTATTTTGGAAAGATGAGTCCAGCTCCTAGTCAGTAGTTACACTGGAAGGGGCTGTGACTGGAGTCAACAGAACAGTTAGGAAGAAAGCAAAAGAAGCCAAGCTCAAACTGGCTTGGAAATGCATTAACTTACATAATTGCGTTAGCTTCAGGCATGGCTGCATCCAGGCGCTTAATTAAGAAACCAGTCTCTCTCCATGTCTTGGCTCTGTTCTGGCATCTTTCCAGATAGATCCTCTATCTTTGATGATAAGATTGCCCCCAGAAGCTCAAGGCTTGGCTCTGTGGCTTAGCAACTGCACCAGGAAGAGAATGCATGTCACACACTATTTTCAACCTAAGTGCTAGTGCTGCCACTTGCTGGCTTGGATAGACCCATTTCTCAGCCAATCACAGTAGTATCTCATTGGCCAGGTCTACATCAAGACCCACACTTGGAGTTAGGGAGTGGAATCAGCCCCACTCCAAAGCCACGGTCTGAGATGGTAGGGGAACTGGTCCCCAAAGGAAAATCCGGATTCTATTTCTAGAAACCTTGATCATGGACCATGAAGGGGAAGGAGCAAAGTAGCCCAGCCTTGGGCTGGAACTGGATTCCACAGGATTACCATTCCCGCTTCCCTGAAGTGGAAACAGAGAGGTAAAGTGACTGGCAGGAAGTCACACAGTAACCCAAAGGGAGTCAGTTCTCCAGACTTCCTTCAGACAACTGCGATGGCCAACAGCTCACAATACCCCTGCAGGTGGGAGCTATGCACACTCCTTGGTAACAACCCAGAGAAGATACCCATGGAGTCTCAAAAATATAAGTGACTCTCTAGAAGCTGCTTTCCTGCAAGCATCATCTCAGTATCCACTAACTAAGAGAGGGGAAGCCTCAAGCAACTTCTGGTCTAGAGTCAGGACTGAACGGGGCCTGGAAGCCCCCAGAACACATTACTTCGTGTGGGAGACATGAAGAGAGGGCCACAGGTTGCTGGGTGCTGTGAAACATGTGAGGCGCCAGGGACTCAGCGCCCAGGCACAGATGCGTCCTGACTCGCAGAGCCGTGACCACTGGAATGGGGTCCTCATGGCATAAGCAGGGCAGCAAACAGCCCTGAGTGTCCCCTCACAGCACAGCATGGCACTCACTGTGGGCCATTGCCCCCTGGGCTGTGAGCTCCAGGAAGCCAAGGGCCGTGTCGCCTGTGTGCTCACTGTGAGGCCCAGTGAATTGTTGTCAGATTAACGGTTGGCTGCCCCCATGGTCCTGCACACCTCCAGGCACAGGAGGCTCACTGCCACCCAAGCCAGCCTGTCCCTTTGTTGAACAGCCCAGCAAGGAATGCCATCCTCAACCCCCTCAAGATGGCAAAATGACAGAACAAGATTCAGAGATCTCCCACTTTGGATTTTATTCTCAGGAGAGAATTCAAAAGTGGGAAAAACAAATTATCCATATGACGATGTTCGTTCTAGTGCTGTTGTCGTGGTGGGAATCTAGGAACAATGGGAACACCTCAGAGGTGGCAAAGACTGTGTGTGTGTGTATGCGAGTGTGTACATGTGTATAGGTGTGTATGTGTATGTGTGTGCGTGCAAGTGTATGTGTGTGTGTGTGAGCGTGCAAGTGTGTATATGTGTGAGCGTGTGTGCGTGCACGCTTTAGTTACTCAGGAGACACCACTGCTCGGACTATCTAGCAACCATGAAAACCGCAAACCTGGAGAAGCACATAGGCACATGGGAAGTGGAATGGGATGGAAGGTTAGGAATAGCAGAACGTGCACTGTGCCTGTGGCCCAGTAAGCTAAGTGTGCACACACAGGACAAGAGGGGGAGGGACAGGACCAGAGTGCAGGAAGGACATCTCTGTGGGGTCAGGGTGACAACACCTCAGCTCGTTTTTAAAGTTTCTTTACAGTTACATCCCCTCATCCCACCGGTACTATTATTCCCATTTTAGAGATGAGGACATTGAGGCCAGGGAGGGCAGCCATTTGCACACGGTGCTGCTCGGACAGTCTGGGCAGCTGACTCTGAGGGGGACCGTGAGCCCCTGCGGGGAGCTGGGTGCCCTCCCTGGCCTGAGCCAGCACCTTCTGCCACCCTCCTGAGAGCTGAAGACAAAACTCTTGCCTCCGGGGCCTTCTCTTCCCCTTGCCGACCATTCCTGCGTCCTCACCGTCCCTCCACCCTGTACCCCTGCCCCAAGACTTGGTCTCAAGTCTCCCGCTGCAGACCAGGAGGGACATTGGCCAGAGGAGGCTCCGCAACAGACAGGAACGGCCTGGAACATATCCGCACTGCCGCAGCCTGACTCGTGCGAGAGTCTCAAGAACAAAGGCCCCCCCGCACCCACTGGGGCCGCACTGCCAGGCGAGCCAACATGAGTTGGCTCTTTGAGGTACACAACGGCCTCATAACCACAGCGCATCCCCAGGCCGCAGGTTCAGGGGAGAGTTCTAGAGTGTCACCAGTGCAGGTAAAAAGAGACCCTTCTTCTGAGGGAAGTAGAAGAAGTAACTTCTGTCTGCAGACAGCGCTGGCTCTGCTAGGCCATGGACTTATATTCTCTTCTTTACACTTCCTGACCCATGAAGCTATACAGTCAGAAGACAAGGAGGGGTACATGATGCCAAGAGAATGTGGGGCCACAGAGGGCTTCCCTGAGGGAGTGCCATACAGGCTAAGAGCTAAAGGTCCAGGGAGGTAACAAAGCAAAGAGAGAGTATTCCAGGCAGTAGAAACAGCATGTGCAAAGGCACTGTGGTAGGACCCAAAAAGATCAGTGTGACAGGAACATAGCAAGGGTCCGGGGAATAAAATAAATTTGACTGGCTCCTAACACCAATGGTTCCAGCTAACATTTGCTGTGTGGCCACTACACACGGACCCACACAGCTTCTTGTATATGATCTCTTTTAATCGTTACAATACCTCCATGGTGAGGGTATTCCCCGCCCCCCTGTTTTTCAGATAAAAGGAAATGGAAACTCAGATGTTGTAATTCCTCAAAGCCGGTATTCGACTCCACCGGCAGACCCAGCCCCTGCAGTGGCCGTGTGAGGCACTTTAAACACATTATTTCGATGCAACCTTTCAGCAACCTGTGACAGAGAGACCTTTATTACCCCCACTGCACAGATGAGAACAGGGAGGCTCAGACAGGGCATGTGACCTATCCAAGGTCACAGAGCCTGGAAGCCACAGAACTGGGATCCGAACCCCAGTGAGCTTGGCTTCAAGCCCAGGGTGGTTTCCACAGTCTCAGAGCTGCAGCAGCTTCTAAGTGTCTGTCAGGGCCAGCATAGGCCTCACCCTGAGTCAGCCCCACCCCTGCGCACGGCAGCAAGTGAGGGATTCACGTGTCACTCCTCGTTTTTGGTGGGTTGTTTTTTTTTTGTTTTTTTGTTTTTTTTTGGTTTTGGTTTTGGTTTTACTACTGTCTGCAGCCTCAGCAGACCCTCGGGCTGAGCAGCGCCCAGCAGCCGAATTGGGTGCCCTCTGCAGCCAACGGCATCTTGCTGATGGTTATCTCAGGGCCTGGCCCCTCCTGTCCTCCTTGTGGGTCTCCTGGATTATCACTGGATTCCTTTGACAACCCTATGCTGGCTGGCCTCTAGACACACTCAGTCTGGGTTCCCCCCAGAGCAGACCCCGAGGCAAGGACTTGGAGGCAAGCACCTTGTTTGGCAGGTGATCCAGGAAGTGGAGCAGGGAGGGGAGAAGTGAGAGAAGAGGAAAGCCAATAAAGGATGCATTCAGGAGTGGGGTACCACTGTGGGCAACAGGGGTGCATTTCTGCTGGGCCCTCTGGGAGGCTGTGCAGATTACACTTGGGGGGACCCCCCCGAGAGATGGGGGAGCTGGGGTATGTATATCCCCCAACGCCCATCCTGCTTTAAGGCTGCTCCTGGGGTGGGGCTGGGGTGTTAACTTCTGGTGTTTGCAGCCAGCCTGCTCACTCACCTGGCTGGAGAGCACAGCTACTGAGCTGTGTGCCCGTGACCTCCGGGGTGGGCCGGGCCATGACATGTTGCAGGGCATCGATTACAGGAAGTTTGTTCACCCATCTGGTCTGGCAGGCAGCAAATATTTTTCGGACGTCCACGTGGCTGGCAGTGCTATGTTCCGAACAGAGGGCAGCTTGGAATGGTAGAAACAATCAAGCACCTACTATGCAATCAGGCTGAAAATTTAAATACACTATCATTCCAAATGACATGTGCACGTGGAAGCATCAGAAGGCCACTTCACAGGATTTTGCATCTGTTACTCACGGGCTTTGGAAACTAGGGCATATGAATCTCCTTGAAATCTCAGTTTTTCCATCCATAAAACGGGCATGAAATCAGTATTTGTTTCATAGGGTCGTTGAGAGGATTAAACCATAAAGTTCCCGGAAACAGTGCCTGGTACAGAGTAAGTATGCTATAAACTGTAATGATTCTCCTAGTTTTTTCTTCTTAGCACCATATTTCACCGAATCTAGGACACTATCAGTTGTAAACCACATCCCAATTTTAGAGCTATTAAAATGCAGGGTGGGGAGGGAAGGATTTCTTAGAATTGACAGAACACAGCATTATTCCTGTTTTCCTGATTGGGGCATTGAGGCTCCGGGCAGGGATATAATATGCCTGTTCCCCCCCCAACCCATGTTCTCTGCTCCTGCCCCAGGACAGGGTCCTTGCCAGGTCACCCCGGTGTCAGGTTCGGGCAGATTTTGCTGTTAATGCCACGTTGCCTGAGCAGACTCAACCCTTTTCAAGCCGTGGATTAACTTATTTTACTGCTGTGTCAAAGAGAAGCAGAAGTCTGGAGCAATTATGCTGATTGGGGACCCCACCCACCCAACACTCTCCTCCTGGCCTCTGCCAAGATGACTCAACCCAAATTATCCTCCTAATTGTCTCAACCTGTGTGGACTCCCAGCTGGGGCCCTCCTTCCCCCAAACTCACATTACTAGTCCTTGAGTGCTGCAGACAGGAGGAGATATCCGCTGTCTCTGAAATGGAATGTGGACTTCCAGGCCCTTCCAGCCTTCTTATAAACCCAGTTTCCACTTCCTTCTCCCTTCTGCCCACCCTCCTCTGCATACATGCCTGGGTGTCAGTGGCCTTTATGAGAGTTCCTGCTTGGAACAGAGGACCGCTCCCTGTGGGCATCCCTGTTCCTCCACCCCTGGCCTTGCCTTACGCTTGTTGACCTGCCTAAGAAAGGGGGAGTATCACATTTGAATCCCCCTTGAAGGGAGGAATGATCTTGTATTGATGTTTGGATCCCACCCAGTAGAGCTAATGGCACAGAGAAGCTATTCAAGACAAGTGGTTTGAATAAAGAGAAGGGGAAAAAACAAAAAACAAAAAACAAACAAGAACCGAGGGAAAACTTGAGTCATGGGAAGAGAAAAGACCTCCAAGGCATGGGGTGCTATAGCTGATCAGACTCATGCGGCAACAACAAGCAGACAGAACAGCAAAAGCAACAGACAGAACAGCAAGAATAAGCAGACACTGCAGTGTTCCATGCAAATCAAGGGATCGACAGACTGTCACGGGGAGAGGGGAGGATGCACTAGGAGGTGGATTTTTATCTGCAGGATTCAGTAAAGGATGTTTTTTTTGGCCAAGCAAGCTCGTCTAGTATATCAGTTTTATGAATGCATAAGTTGTATGAATTGAGCAGGTAGTTAATGAAAACCCACGAAAGAGGCAGACTGAGGCTCAGGGGACCCAGGCCTGGACTATACCACCATAGGCTGGGAGACACTGAAAGTCTGACTTACTTTGGGGGGGATATATTTTTTTAAGTAATCTCTATACCCAATGTAGGACTTGACTGAATTATTTTTGATTGGCAGTGCACAGGAATTAACAGATTCCCTCAAGGCCACTCATCCAGGAGAGCTCGATATTATCATCAGTCTGGCCAGACTTTCCCCACCAGTCTGTTCCCCTCCCTGCTACCATGGACATGGCCCACCATGTTTTTAATGTAGCTTCATCGTTCCAGGACACCTGCCACCCCTTTATGTACATATTTATGTATCCAAGAACAACAAATAACAATGGGTAGGTGGTTTTCAAATGAACGTAAGAGATACCATCTCCTGTGGCTTATTTGCAATTTTCTTTTCCCCATCAGTATTAATTTTCGAGATTCATCCTTCCTCCTTCCAACTACTATATAATATTCCAGGGCATGACCATCCCCTATGCTATCTGTCCACTTCCCCATGGGTGGAGATGCAAGTTATTTCTAACCCTGCCCTACATTTTCCTTCCTTAGGTATCTCTTCTATAAAAATGAGGTACCATAGATGGCTTCCAACTTTCCAGGAGCTGGGCACCTGAAGTGCAGACCTCACCCTCCGGAAGTTCGAAGTCCAGTCAGAAAGACAGGACTTGTAGACTCGTATGTACAGGAGAGGGATTTCACTGCGTGGCTGAATGGGGTGCCAACGTGTTTCCTAATTCTCATCTCTGCTGTCGGTCTCTAAACTCCTCCCATCCCGAGAATGCTTTACACAGTGCCTGGCACTCCTGGAAGAATGAGCAAGGCCGGTGAGGGGTCTGGCACTGGGGGGAGGGGGCGTGTGCATCTCCACTGATTCCGTCGGGAGGCCCTGCCTAGTCCATCAATAACAGCCCAGGCTGGGCAGCTTCCTGCCCCAGACTAGCAGGACGCATCTCACGGCACACAGCGGGAATCCTCTGGCTGTTATTTATGTTGGCTGCAAAATCCAGGAAATCGCCACTGGATATATGGCCCAATGTCTCAGGATTAAATCCTGTTAGTATGAATCTCATTCCCCAGTATTCCCCTGTGATCCAGACCACGGGGCCTGCCCGATGGTGGATCCAGGTTTGTTGTTACAGGGGAAAAAAGAAAGAAACCAGAGCCCACGTTGAGGAAGCTCAGAATCAGATGTACGGCCTGGCGGAAACACTGCCATATGCTTAATTGTGCTCCAATTACACAGAATGCTCCAGAATCACCGCTCTGGGGTAGAGAGATGCTAATGGCCATCATTACGTTTGGACAGCCCTGTTCGGTTATATTGTGATCTTTGCAGCTACCATGTGGTTCACCAAGAGTCGCCAGCCCGGTCTAACATGGGAGAAACATCAGAGTGGCTCACTTGCACATGCTTCCTGAGCACCTAGTGCAGACCACACCTGGCTCTGGGAATGGAGACAGGGAAAAATTGACTCTCATGTAACTTCCAATCCAGCTGGGAGAGACCAGCAGTACACACGTACGCACGCGTGCACTGTGCAGGTAGTGATAAGTGCTGTGAAGGATAAGGAACTATGACAGATAGGGGGAGGGCCTGGTTTTATGTGAAGTGGTCTGGGAAGGCCCCCTTGAAGAGGGAACACTGGAGCATCCAGGTGAGGCAAGGGAGGGAGCTGTGAGCAGCTCTGGAGGAAGCGTGTTCTGGACCTCAGGAACAGCCAGTGCAAAGTCCCTGAGGCGAGTTGCCTGGAGTGTTGGAGAGTGTTGGAGAAGCAGCCAGAAGGAGGCCAGTGTGGCTGGAGGGGAGTGAGGGAGAGGAGGTCTAGGAGGGGGTGGGGACAAAGAGAGGGTCCCAGTAAAGGAGACCTGTAGAATGAGTTACATGGCAGGGCTTTGAGTAGAGGAGGGATATGACCTGTCTGATACTTAAGTGAAACCCTCTGGCTCCCCTGTGGGAGGGGAAGGGGCCAGTTAGCAAGGTCTTGAGCCACCACCCGGAAAGAAAGGATGGTGGCTAGACAGGTTCAGGATCGTTGTGGTGGACACAGTCAGAAGGGTCGGATTCTGGACCTATTTTGAAGGTGGAGTCTACACGATCTCAAGTAGGGAGTGAGAGGCGCACTTGACCCAGTCAGGGAGTGGGGGCGTTGAGCCAGGTCTCCTGCTTCCTTCCACAGCCTATCACTGGGGCCTTAGATGATGCATTCGAACAAGCGTGCTGATGGCCACTAAATCCTGTGGGTTCGATCCCTTAAGGAGCACCCAGCTCTTTTTGCAGTCGCAGACTCTATTCCTTGCATCTGTTCCCTCTTGCCAACTTGATGATCGCGAGCAGGGTGTGAGACCAGGACCCTGAGCCAAGGGCAGTGTTTTCACAGACATGCAATGCAAACCCATGCAAATAATCCTTTACGTTTGCACCACAATCCAGAGGAGAGTCTTTCCATCTTTATCATACAGATGAGGTGGAGAGATCTGATCACTTAGAATAAAGCTGGGGGTTGCACTCAGGTGACAGGGGTATCACCTGGCTGAGCTCTGCCCATTGAGAAGAGAAGGATCCTGGTGCTGAGATCCTGTCGGGGCCAGACACTGGCTACCACTCCTTTACCCTTGGCCCAGCTTGTTTTCTGAGCTCCCTGGTCCTCCCCTACCCAGCCTGGACACCTCACACTTGAGTCCGTCTTCATGCACAGCTATGATTATTTGGGGAGCTGCAGACTTTCAACATTTGAAGGCATTAAGGGATGTTGAGCTGTGATAATCAGGTACAAGGCATCCAGCCTCTTGTACTTTCTGCCTGCAGAAGCTCCCGGGACAATCAAGGAAGAAAGAATGATTCCATCGTAGAACGTTTGCAGTTCCTGTCCATTCCATTTTAGAATTTCTTAGATCTAATTTCTCATTTGTTTCATCTTGGGACTTCCAAGGTTTTCGTTCCTTTAAAAAATATCCTAGATCTAATTCCTGCCCTAACTAGAATTTCCTTGATCTAATTTCTAATAGAGTCCATCCCAGAACATTGGAAAAGTATGTGGGAAACAGGTCTGGGTCACTTTCCCTACCATGAATATTTGCTTGTATCTAATTATTCCTCCAGTCTGTTTGGAGTGTTGACTGCGGGCCAGGCACAGAGCTGGGAGCTAAGAATTCAAAAGTGAATGGGGCAGAGCCTCTTTCTTCTCTGGAGGGTCTCACTGTCAGCGGGGAAGCAAACACTCTACAGAAGTAAACGATGATGGCGTTTGGTGCTAAATTCATGCAAAATGTCCTATACATCCAATCTCTGCCGGGCACACGAGTGAGAGAGCATGGGCTCTGCGGGCACTCATGGCTTCCAGTTTCAGTTCCCAAGTTCAATTGTGCACCAGCGTCTCTGTTGGAAACTGACCAAAATGCAGAACCCTAGGCCTGAGCCCTCAGGGGTCCTCCTTCTGCAGATCGGGAGTAGAGCCCAAGTAGGGTGACCAACTGTCCCCTTTTGCCCAGACCTTAGGGGTTCTCTGGGACTCAGGACTCCAGTTCTAAAACCAGGACAGTTTTGAGCAAATTGCGACAGTTGGTCTCCCATGACCCAGGAGTATGCATTTTTAAAACACTCCCCAAGTGATTCAAACGTGGGTGTTCCACGTGGTCTCGTGGGGGCCAACAGGAAGCCCCAGTCCTCCCTGGGGTAGGCGGGGTAACGTGGTCCACCTCTGAAGTCCAGAGGTGGAGTAGGTTGGGAGTTTACAAGGGCAAGGGTGGCTGGTGGGGGGGGGGGGGTAATCCAGGCAGAGGGGGCAGTCCAGACCCCTGGGAGTAAAAGTGCCAGTGGGGTCAAAGGCCCCCGAATCCGCTGACCTAGATCTCCTTCAGAGCATTCCCAGCGTGGCAGGATAGACCGGGGAGAGGCAAAAATGAAAATGGATTGATTAGCCCAACTGGGCGGAGATGACTGAGCTTGTCGATACCGCTGAGCCAAATTTCCCGGCGGCCCCTAGCTGGGCACAGCTGAGCTACGAGAACTGCAGGATATTTGAAGTAAAGGCTCAACCTTGAAGAAGTATTAATGAAAATGTCACAGGCACTAAAGTCAAAGCAGATGCGAAGCCGGCTACATGGGCAGACGTAGCTGATAAGAAACAGCCCAGGAGAGAACAAAACCTCTTGAGATTAGGTCAAGGGCAGACCAAAAAAAAAAAAAAAAAAAAAAGACATCCGGGGGTCCCCCATGGCAACGCGGAGGAAGGCTGCCGCTCCCATGAAACAGGCTGACATTTCTGTGCTGCTGTGTTATAGATTGACATCCCGACAGGGCAGCATTCAGAGGCCTCCACATCAGCAAATAAATATTACGTCTCCATCTTCAGCTAAGCAGAGCTGTGGTGCATTCCTATTACTTCATGTGGATTAACCATCTGGAAGTTGAATCAAGCCACAGAGTAAAGAATGGGATCCAATTTTGCATTCACCAAAATAAGCCGTACTAGTCTCAATTTATGGCAGATGGTTATGCAGTCTCAGCGGGCCAAAAAATCTCTCTGCAAAAGAATAAAGTTTATGCCAATTACTGTAATAGGAACCAGCACAACAACTGCGTGGGGTTGACTAAGATCGTAGATATCGCCGTACAGCCTGTAAACTGCGGGGGGCCAGGGGAACGATGGGGACCCAGTTAATTCATTAAGATAACGCGAGAGAAATGAGGAGCAGAGTTAGTCATAAAACAGAAATATTTCCTCGCCAAGGATGGGAGGGGATCGAGGTGGAAGGGGTCTTACCGGGATGTGGCCTCAGCCGTGCTGCCGGTGGGGGTCAGGGGGATGGTTGGCGGTTAATGGTTAAGAGAGACGGCCTGGCTGCTCCGTGGGAAAAGGCATGGGAGGAGAGGGGTTAAATGCGGGGCTTCTCTGCTCCATTCATTCAGAACGGATCTGCTCAGTGGGCAGACCCCAAGCCTGCAACAGTGGTGGCCAGTGATTCTGGCACCTACCCTTAGAGCACCCGGGAGGGATGCTGGCCTCGTCAGAAGGTCAAGGGAGGGGTCTTCGAGGACCTGGACCTTGGGCTGAGGCTGAAGGATGAACGGGGGAGGGAAAGGGACTCTGGACCTAGGGGACACCATGGCCTTTAGTCACGGGATCCTGGATCATGGAGGCGAGGGGCCACGGTGGAGAGGGTGGCCAGGCCCAACAGGCAGGGCCTGTCAGGCACAGTGAGGAGGTTTGCCCCTGTCCTCGAAGCAAAGATGGAATGAGGCCATCCACCTCCCTTTTGGAGAGCCCCTTGGCTGCAGGAAGCTCTGCCTCTTTTCAGCGGAGGGCAGCTTCTTGACCTGTGTGCGCCCTAGTTTCCCCAAGGATATGGAAATGTGAGAACTCCCGCTCCCCGGGCCCATGTCAGGGTGGAAGTGTGAGCCATAGCAGGGGATGCTCAGGTGGAGGAGGGATTCACGCTCTCCCCATGGAATGGCCCGGCCTGAGCCAAGTGCTGCCGGGCCCCCCAGGTCAGCAGCTCCTCCGAGAGCGACTTCCACCCAGTCTGCACACCCTACCCCGAAATCTTCTGTGCCCTATGAAGGCTGGAGAAAGGATTAGGCAGCTGGTTCGGGGGCACATGAGGCTACAAAACAAGGTTGCTTGTCCCCCACACTATGTTCGTTCGGCTTTTGTATTTGTTTTTAAATGAATGCTGCTGGCTTAAAGAACGTGGACATTTGGGGCTGAAAATAAGGTGACCCGCTGTCCCCCATTTGCCCAGGACTGTCCCGGTCCAGTCTCCCAGGAAACTCCCCTATCCCAGGTGAACTGGGATGGCTGGTCGCCCTCACTGATTAGGAGACCGACTAAGCAGCAAATCCAATGCTGGAGAGATTTTTCACCCATTACTTACACATTTCTTGTCCCAGGGCCATATTCTGTGTCGGTGTTAGTACCCCAACCTTCATGGGCAGGACACAGGGGCTCAGAGGGGCTGAGACGTACTCACTGGCCTGCTGCTCAGTAAGTGGACGTGGCAGACTCGGAATGTAGGCATCGGATGCCAAAACCCCCATGTCCATCGTGGCCTCTCGGGGGGTGGGGGGGAGACAGCAGCAGCGATGTAAAACTCAGTAGCAGCAGTCATGGCTGCCAAGCTCCACATTCTCTGGGTAGGCTGACAAGGAAGGGAACAAAGTTCTTCACAAGCAACAGTCATCCCACTGTCCCTCGCCTGGCCAGACAACTCCTCCCGACTCACACAAAGGCCTGAGTGAACACAGGGGCCAACATTGCATCCTGGTGGCCTGGAGCCAGGGCTGGGTCAGGCTGTCCTCAGCCACGGGTAGAGCGCCCCCCAGATCCTGGGGTCCAGGCAGCGCACAAACAGCCCCAGGATGGAGAGGACCGATGATGGGGGGTGAAGTCCAGGGCAAGCGGGAGAAGCCCCTGCTTGAGGCCTGGCGCTCCCATATGTGGGGAGCCCGCCAGCCGGAAGGCAGGCGCTGACCTCAATCGCACAAGTGGAAAATCTGAGCCTGTTGGGTTTGGAAGGGGCTGGGAGGAATCCTGAAATCCCTCCCACGACGGCTTTCTGGCACGCGCCTCAGAAGAGGAGTGAGCTCATGGGCCACCAGCTGCAGAAGCAAAAGATCTTAGCCCCAGTGATAAAAGGCACGCTGGGCACTCGCGTATGGGGAAGGGTTCTCAAGGCCTGGTGCGGTACAAATCAAGTTTTCGGTAAGATTCTCTTGTAATGTGAAACACCGAAGACAATTCGGGGGGTCAGGGGGCGGTGGGGGAGAACTACCCACAATCGCGCCATGTTAACAAAACCACCCCGGCGGCTCCCTTCCAGATGTTCACAGGCCTCGAGATTTCCCGCAGGTGAGGAGTGACTGCAACTCTGATTTCTCACCTCGACATTGCAGACAATGTTTGTGTTTGCACATGCATTTCAGAGTTCTCGCTAAACCTTTTCCCCCTAATACTCTGAGGTGACGTACAAAGGAGGCACGGAGACAGGAGAGCAAAAACCCTCCATTTGCACAGCGCCATCGCACAAATCAAGTGTGGGGGCTGAGAAGGGGGGGCTGGGTTTGGTGGGGGGTGCGGTGAAGGAGTTATGCCAGGAAGACTGCCTGGAGAGGTTGCCTCAGCTGGACACAAACTGCAACATGGGAGCTGCCTGACACCAAAGACTGAGGGGGAAATTCGACACTGTCTAGGAAGAAATGTTTTCTTGGCTCTGGGCTCTGGGAAGAATCAGTCATGGAAGGTTGCTCCTAAGGGGTGTTTAAGAACAAAGGGTCCTCGATAGAATTTTTATCATTAGGGCTGCTCCTTCCTTCGACCCTTATTAAATGCCACAGGCATGGACCTCAGTGTTCCTGAAAGACAGGGAGGTGGGATGAGCAGCGGCTAGGAGTGACTCCAGTGTGACTCCCTGGGTTATAACCCTGGCTCCACCACTTCCAGTAATGGGATGTGGCAATATTAGTCTGGGCCTCAGTTTCCTCATCTGTAGAAAGGGGGGTGATAGCAGTGCCTAGCTCACAAGGCAGTTGTAAAGATTCAGTGAGGTCGTTTATGTGTTGTGCTCAGAACAAGACCTGACACGCACTCTTAAGTGCTGGCTGTTTTTTGGGGCAAGAGTCTAGAGTAGGGATTGGCAAACTATGGCCCTTGGGCCAAATCCGGCCCACCACCTGTTTGTGTAAATAAAGTTTTATTGGAACACCACCACACTCGTTCGTTTACATTACGTCTAAGGTTACTTTCATGCTACAGAGGCAGAGTTGAGTAGTTGCAACAGTCTGCATGGCCCACAAAGCCCAAAATATTTGCTTATTTGGCCCTTTATAGAGAAAGTTTGCTGACCACTCACCTAAAGAAAGGAATGGAAGGGCTTGAGGATGTCTGCGCATGGCTGTTCTGGGGCCTGATTCTAAGCCTCCCTCCAGCCTTACTTGGGAGAAGTCTCTCATCCTACACAGTGCCTCTCTGGGAATGACATTTTGGAGTGATGGCTACAAAACACTCACAGAACCTCTTGGTAGGCTGAGTTGTTTCAGGGCTTCCCAGGCCATGGGAAAATGGAGTCAGCTCTGAGAGAACAGGCCATCAGTATTCCAGGCTGCGGGGAGCCAGCGTGCAATGGGATGCCCAGAGGCGAAGCTTTTGTTTAGCACATACATTAATAAACACTGTAAGCCACTCCTCCGTTCCACTTCATGAAACTCCCTCGGTCTGGAGTGCAAGGCAGTTCTGCTATTGACTGATTAGCAGGTGGTGTCAGGATATATAAGGGATCAACGAGGCAGAGGCATGTCATGGTGCTTTACCGCTTCTCAGAAATTCAAGGAGTAAACAGAGTCAACCCAGGGTTGAGTGTCACGGACTCTGGGAAAACCGGGCTGATTTTCTAGGCAAAGGCCTGGTTTTAGCGTGCCCCATTAGGAGTCACGAAGCCAAGCTCGGGTTAACCTGTTAGCAGTGGTATCTAGAGAGCCAAATTCTAATCACGGAAAACATATAGGGCATCTATGAGCTTTTCCGTGAGCACAGCATTCAGTTTAACAGCCACAGATGGTATTTTCTGGACAACAGACGACAGACAGTGAAGTTAACACATGCCAGTTGAGAAGTTTAGCTAACCAGCATTATCTTCATTGTATTTCAGACACCAACAGCTTTTGTTAGCCCATCACGGCTCTTACCCTTCAACTTTCAGTTGGTATGGGTTGGCAATCTGATGGCAAACAACAGCAACTGTCTTCCTATGCTGAGCGCTTTCCATGGACAACATCCATGCTATGCACAGTCCCTTCCACCCAGGCATGACCATCTAATGACCAGGAGGCAGATGAGCAGTGCTGGTTCCACTTCACAGATGGCAGGAGGCGGCTCTCACTGGTCGCTGGTCACTGGTCACTGGCCTTAGCTGCACTGGTCTGGGCCTCAGAGAGCCATGCAGGTGTTCAAGCATGGGTGCGGCACAATCAGGGGCATCCTAGAAAGTCACCTGTAGGTGGCACAGCCTGATTAAGTGTATCTGGGCTCTAGACCAGAGCTTGGCAAACTTTGGCCCCAACAGCCAAATCCAGCCCACCAACTATTTGTGTAAATAAAGTTTTATCAGAACAGACACACTTACTTGTTTACATACTGTCCATGGCTGTTTTTGCATTACAAGGGCAGAGTTGAAGAAGGGTGATACACCCTATGGCCCAAAAAGCCTAAAATATTCGCAGTCTAGCCTTCGACAGAAAGTTGGCAGGCCCCTGCCCTAGATGAGAGGGTGGTTTGGGCCAGGCCACAGAGAGGAGTGCAATGTGATTATCACAGGCATTGGCGGGCACTTTGGAAGACTCAGGGACCACAGGCTTCCTGGCTTGGGCCGTGCAGCCAGAGATTCAGGTACCTGATGGAAGACAGTACGCCTGGGGGAAGGAGGAAAGACGTGAATCTGGTTTAAGACTTCTTGAGTTGGAGGAGCCTACCAAAGCTCAGGTTTAGATGTCTGAAGAGAGAGGGGTAAATGCGGACCTGGAGCTCCCTCCTCTGTCCTCTCACCATCAGCTTCCAGAGTTACTACATCCTGTTGCTGCTTATTGTCATGCTTTAATTCTCCTACAGCAGACATTAGACCTTACTGACTTGGAGGCTATACTCCCCTCCCCTCTGACCCCAAGACTCAAAAGGGGCCTTGTACAGGGCGGGGCAGGGACATGCTGTGGGCGAACAGAGCGGTTTCAGAGTCCAAGTGCCCATCGGGGGAGGCAACCGGGGTTGTGTGGGGGTGGGGTGGACAATGGTGGCTCCTGCCCACAGGAGGTCCCAAGCTAACTTGGGATGCAAAACACACAGACTCAGAAGATGGACAGCATCGATTAATCTACTGAGGCAGCACGGAGTCCACAGGTGCCACATGAGGGATGCGGGCTGCTGCAGAGACCACGCCAGGTTAAGGCCAGCTGCATGGAGCAAGTAGTACTTGGGCTTTGTCAACTGGGTAGGAGTCTGACTGCTTGGAGACAAAGCGGTCTTCTCAGTGATCTCCTAGGAAGAGGGTGGGAATTCTCTGGGCCCTCTTTCCCTGTCCTTTGAAAACAGAGCACACAAGCCATAGAAAAGGCAACTGGTGGGCAGCCTATACTTTTAAAGGCTCCCCCACGTGACTCTAGGGTGCTGCCAGGGCTGAGAACCTCTGGTTTACGTGCACTGAATTTTTTCGAACCAGTAGCCCTAGCAGGACAGAACAAATACTCAAGAGCTGGGAACCCCTCAGATGCCTGGGGAAAGAGTCATCCAGGGACAGACTGTAATTTGTGATTTAACTCGATGGAGGAGAAACCATGAGGAGGTCAGAAGCAGGGGTCCTCCACTCCCCAACCCCCACCACCCTAGGGGAGTGCAAGCGATCTTGGGGAGTTGGGGAAGCAAACTGAGTTAGTTCTGAATCCCTTTTAAACAACAAGCCGGCAACATGGCACTTTCAGAAGGAAAAAAGGGATGGGCATCAAAGTATGAGGTGCCTCCAACTGCTGAGCACTGCTTCCAATGCCTAGCATGGCGTCGGATGACACGGCCTTGGAATAGCCGCAATTTCTACTTTTCCCAATCCAATCTAGTTGAAGAACTGGTTTTGAAGAGACCTGCTGTTGCTTAGTATTTCCAAGTCAGAAGACATAACCTCAAGTGACCCTGGCAGGATTCCTAGGAAGCACTCCCTGCGGGCAGTGGATGCTCCAAGCTCAGCGGGATAATCTTCCACCTGTCTCCTAGCACTTTCCCTCCCTCCCAACCATTCCAAGTCCCAAACTCTACAACTGCCAGTGAGGGCAACTTGAAAAAAAATCCTAAGTCATAAAACATCGTAACATTCGGTGGCTCTCCGGATGTCGCACTGGAGGGTCTAAGAACAGGCAGAACAACATTCTCCTTCCAAATGGTCAAGAACAGGGTATTACACACTGACCCCTTGTCAATGCAGCTAGCTGAGAGGAGATGAACAGTTAGTGTCTATTCCTCAGAGACAAGATGTGAGGAGGAGGTGGGGCTGTGGAACTATACAGTTTAGCAAGTTGGAAACGGGGAGAGAGGTGAGCTTTATAAAAGCCAGGTGTTGGGTCCACTGTGATTTCAGACCAACCAAGAGGCAGTCTGGTAAAGCAACAGAACAGGAAGGGAAAGATCACAGTGATTGAGGGCGCCCCATATGCTCAGGGACACTGACCCTGAACACTCTGCAGCTGGGTACTCCAGGACTCAGCAAGAGGCCAGAAGGGGTGATCCTGACCCCAGGCCCCCTGCTGGCAGTGCCCGCCCAAGAGCAACACCCTGGGCTCCTTGGGTCCCTGCCGCCCTGCCCAGCCGCCTTCGGCCTGAACGTTTGCTTTCGCAACTGCACGATGTGGATGACGTCTAAGCTCTCTTTCAATTATCCTACTGAACTGTAATTATCTGTGCGTGTGTCTCTCTCCCACACTGGACTGTGTGCTGCTTTTATTCATCTTGCTGCCTTTGGCGAGACCAAAGCGCTGAGCTTTAGCACTCAGCATCCCGAATGACAGACTGGCCCTGCAAACGCAAACGCTAACTCTGAGATAAAACACTAAGAAAATCACCTCAGGAAACAAACAAAGATCACCTGGAAATATAACATTCTGTATGAACCCATCCATGTAGCTGGCCACCTCTCCTAATGCTGAGCAGCTCTAGAATGTAAGATGGGACCACGAGAAAATAGCTGTGAGGTGTCCCAAAACAAGAAGAGTGGAAATGACAAGATCGCAGGAGAGGTGAAACACCGCACCAAACCAAAAAGCCACCATTTTGAAACAATCAGAGGCTGATGATAAAATCCTCACTGAGTGCTTCTAGAAATACTATGGGTTTTCCCTATTTTTCCCCTTGAAACATAATTAAAAAAAAAAAAAACCTCTGAGACTGCTAAGAAATAACCCTTCTTTAGCTTTCTGCTTACTTTAAAAGCAGAAAATTATCTAAGAAAACAAATGTAACAGGTTAATATGGTATAGACACATTTCATGAATAGGAGTCTGCAGTGAAAAATTTTTAAAAACCATGTTTTTCCTTTATTTTTCCCAGAGTGGCAGGGCCGCACAACAGAGACTTCTTGAGAAAGCGGCAGAGAAGTGGTCCACAGTGTGCTGAACCTAGACGTGGCATTGGGGAAACCACCACTCAAGCACACAAGTGGCATTTTGTGATCAAATTTATTTTTTGTTTCAATTTCATTTACTTTGTTTTACTGTAATTTACACAAGAGACTGCCAAGTAAACTAGGTATTTTACATTCACCACGCATTCCCTCAAATCTCCACAGTTGTTAGGAAAACATTAGAATCCGTGCGCTGGGCATGGATTTCCATGTGCGCCCAAGCTCCCAACGAAGCTACAGATGCCAGTGAGAGTTTAGTCCATTAAAAGGAGAGAGTGAGACTCTTTATTTCACAAAATTAGCAATAATCTTCCTTGCACCAAACACTTTGCAGACAATGATTATGCTTTGACAACACCTATCTTATAACAGTGCCCAGAGAGTAAACATCAGTCTTGATCCTGAGTACACGGAGGACATATTCGACGTGGGGTTCGGAGCCAAGGCTAAGAGGGCATCGCGGTGCGGCAGTGATCCTCAACACCCTCGTCCGACTCACTGCCACCACCTCAGTGGGGACACGGCGTGTGGGAAAACGAGGAGCAGGGTGGGCAGGACTGTCAGCAAGTCAGATTACAAACGTGATAGGACTACAGGAGCCAGCGTGTTGCAGGAAGGACGAGGTTAAAGAAGACAGTTTGTGACCGGAAGGCTCCAACAATATCATTCTAGTCAAGCTTCCAGGACTGACAGGAGAAAACCTGGATTTGGACAGAGAGAGCTGATAAAAATCTTACCTAGCTATGGTGCCTTTCTTAAAGAAGGAGGAGGAGGAGGACAAGGTGGCAGCAGCTGCTAACAGCACGTTCCTGATGCTCACTCGTGACAGGTTCCAATGGTGTCCTCCCCATGGGCGGCGGAGCACCGGCCCCTCAGCAGGGCCTCCCAGGCAAGGAGACCAGCCTGTGCTGCCTCTGAAATTCCACTATCTCAAAGGCAGCGTCTCCCCCTCGGGGTGTATTTCAATATGAAAAGCGCAAAACAAAAACAAAAACAAAAACAAAACCGTCACCACTATCTGTATTCTAGCCTGTCAGCTGTGAGGAATCTAGATCATTTGCATAGTTTCCAAGCTCTAATTTCAGAAAACAGTCATTTCAGAAACAAGACTCCATGGAAGTGCTCGACTTCCGAAAGTTTTCCTACAGCCTACGATGCTATTCATTTCTTCATCAATTTCTTTGTTTGCCTAAGAGTAGCCTGAAAATTGTATAGTGTTTATTATAAATCACAAACCATCATCTCCATTTTTGCTAGGTTTGATGTAGAAAAATATTGAAATTTAAAATACAAAAATCCAATAAAAACCAGAATTTTTTTTTTAAAGGATTTTTTCCCTCAGGGCAAACAAGTAAAAATTGGCTGGTAACTATACTCCTTACTAATAGACATTGTCCAATTTGAATTTAAGATAATAACCATCCAGAAATAAATCATTATAAATACATTCAGAGTTCACATTCCAGATTCACTGGAATACCAAAAGATTTTGAATAAATTTTTCTGTGGGAGTCTGTTGCTTATGGGACTAAAATAAAAATTTGTAAGATTTAAAAGAACAGGAAGATTTAAAAGAACAGAAAAGTAATAAAAGGCTAAATATATTGGTCCACAATTTGACATTTATGAAACATACCAGCTAGTATTACATTGCAGTCAATTTGTCCATTAATGGTATTACTCTGATAATTATTAAAATCTGTTCCAGGTATATATATTGAAAATATTTTCTTTTGCATTCTTGAAGATAGGTACAGTACTTTGGAGAAATTGTACTAATCCTTTCAGTATGTTTGTATGTACATATATACACAAGTGTGTGTATCTTGATCTGTAGCTCTACATGCGTTTTATATGCAGCCACAGACACACACACACACACACACACACACACACACACACACACACGTGGTTGGGAACCTGTGAGTACGTCATCACAAGCACACATCTGGGAAACGTCAGCACTGCCAGATACTGGTCAGATCCTTCTTCACTCATCACTGGCTGCACTTGTTCCCCTCACTTGACCTTGATTACGTAACTGTAAAAAAAGTGAAAGGGCAATGTTAAAACACAGACTCACAAAAAATGTTACCGTGTCACATACATTCTGCAGAAAAAAAAAAAAAATCCTCAACATGGCAAAACTTTTGCAGAAAACATACCCCAACTACTACATTTAAAAAACTTAATCTCTTGAAGATTTTGGTCTATGACATAACATTTTGTTTCATCAGGGAGAAAATAAATTGGAAGTGGAAATAAGTCACAGAACTTAGAAGAACTTAACAAAAGTAGCAATAATTTGTTTTTTTTTTTACATGAACACTGTATTTAAAGACAGGGCTCTGGTGGAATCCGGGCAGTCTCTTCATTCTTATTTATACAACTCCTTGTGTTCACAACTGAATACTGCACTTCTCCCCTGTCCGGTAATTAAAGAGCAGGTGGCACAGTGAGAGGGCAGCAAAGGACCACAGTGCGTGAGGACAGGGTTCCGTCTGGTTCTTTTCCTCAACCAACACTGCAGCTCGACAGTGACAACGGGCAGCAGTGCACCGTCCCTTTGGGTTTACTCATGCTGGTTTTGGTATGTGGGGTAGATTCTGAGGCTCTTTTTTCCCCTCGAGGAAAATCTCTTATCTGAGCATATAATCTGTGTTAGGGAAATAAAGCCATAGAAATGTTTTATATTATAGTGAAAGCCAAAGTGTATTTATACATATTAAAGCTAACTGTAGAGGTAACTGAAGATTCAACATGAAGGAAGACATTGAGATGTTCAGAAAAAATTTCAACTACAACGAATCACTAAGGTTGCCCGTCTGATATGGGACGGAGGATCTCTGGTTTAAAATGCTTTTACGTTATTTCCTTACTAACCACATGCAGTTCTATTGAGAAATAGGTCAATTAACTGGCCATCAATGAAGAATCAGCTGGCTTCCAGGACAACACTACGTGATGAATGAGTATGCCTGGCAGTTGTTTTCTGGCCCTAACACTAAGAACTAACTGGAGATTACAAAATTCAACCTGTTCCACAGATAAAACTCTTACAGAATAATAACTTAAGTGTTCCACGTCAATCTCTAAAATATGTATCTCTTTAAATTCTAAAAATTAAACCACATTTAATACTTAGTCTCTGCTCAGCAAGTTAACTACCCATTACCAACAAGGTATTGGTTTTTAAACATTCTTTTTACCCAGGTCTTCACTTACACAGTTTGATATTGTCTCTGACCCTACAGGGGACTCATCTAGACATCAGCAGCCGACGTGCCTCGGACGGAACCCTTCTTACGCATCTAAACGTAAAATAAAATCATGAGCTGCTGAAATCACAGACTCTAAATTGGGTTAGTAAGCAAAGGCAGAAAAAAGATCCAGGAAAGATTGTGAATGACCGCTGCCTGTTCATAACCACATCCACACTGAGAATGAAGTTCTGAGGCCCCTCTAGTAAAGTTGGTTATCTAAGGAAAATCCTGCAAAAGGCTTTTCTTACAATAACACAAAAAATGTGTATCTATTCTTGAATCCAGGAAACAAAAGCCTGCAGAATGATGGTATGAAATTATCAAAGACAGCCAAGGGTAAATTAACTGTTGTTCACTAATACCATGTGAGAAAATGCCCTGATGGTCTGATTCACATTTTCCTAGTCCCTAGAGCAGACAGGAAGACACGAGGTGTGGCCACCTCTGCTGCTTCTGAGACTAGAGTCCCTGAGAGGAGTTCTTTATGGGAAGTTTATTTAAAAGAGGGAGGACAAAAGAAAGAACAAGTGAGCATGGGAACAATGTACGAGAAACAACAAAGGACATAAGGATGCATCAGAAAGGACAGGCATTCATAATAGCAGACCACAGACAATTCCAAAAAAAACTCAATGAGAAAATCAGAAAAGAATGGACAGAAAAAGGAACAGATGTAATAAACACATTTCTAAACCTCAACATTTCTCCCCGACCCCCAGAAGTGCCAGTTGTGAACAAACAGGCAGAAAGTTTACCCCCAGCACTTCTTTAGCAGCTGGGCCTTAAACCCATATTTCTCTTTAGGATTCCAGGCAGGGGCATTCCTGTCATGCCTAAGCTCTCAAGATGCTGTTCCTTTTCTCCAGAGCCAAAACCCGTATGAGTGATATCCAAGTCTTAAAATATTTGCAAATTAAGAAGAGAATTACAATGTATCAAACTCTATCATCAGGTGTCAGGGAAACAGGACCTCAAGAAAAGGGGAAATCCCTGGGTGGTGGAGAAGACTTGGAAGTGTTAAGCCTCATCGTGAGGCAGGTGCTTTCTGAGTAGGTGCTTTGGCCTGCAGGCATGCTACTGCCCAGAGTCTGAAGACACTAACAAACCAACTGTTAGGGCTCAAAGCAGCAGCAATGTGATGTGGAATAAAGCACTCCCCAATGACCCAGAGCAAAATAACTTAAATGGGATTTTAAGTTACGATGATCAGCACAGAATGCTGAAATTGCCTTAAAATGTTTTTGAGATATCTAACAAAGAAACGGCCATGTACCCCCAAACCCTGAACCAACAAAAGATTTCTACCAACATCATGTGGGAATCAGTCAGGCTGAGCCATGTAGGCACAACAAGGATGATATCTTCTAATAAACGGGGTTTCTGTGTAACTACCTGTCTACCTTACGGACCTGCATGGAGAAGAAAGGAGCTGAGCCTGCAGGCCCGCGGTAAAAGACAGGAGCAAGTGTCCCCACTCCTCATCGGGGCACTCACTGTGTTTACACTGGGAATGCTCTGTGTCCTGAGACTGAGAACTTGGGATGGAAGGGCACTCTCCTGAGGGAAGAGGTCCCAGCCAAGTTCTGTCCGAGAAGTCCAGAGGTAGGCAGGGTTCAGAGCTCCAACCAGGGAGGGCTCCATCCCTCACCCTCGCTCTCTCTCTCTCTCAAATAAAATCTTAAAAAAAAAAAAATCAAAATCAAAACCAAAACTCCCTCTTGAGAGTTCAAACCAAGAAAAATAAGTATGTTTTGTTTTATCTCAGCACTGGCAAATCCTTTTTGAAGATACCAAGGCTATGCCGTGAGCTTAGTGAGAATGAGTGTCATCACGCTGCTTTTTTTCTAATGTTCAGCAGAGCCTAGCGGCTCAGAGGGGCTGGGGACAGGGGGCAGGTATCTCTGGGGCCTGGAGCACGTAGAGGGAGCAGAATCAGGCAAGGCCGGGGAGAAGGGACTAAAACTGGGCAGGAGCAGGGGTGCTTCTTAGAGAAGGGCACTGGACTCTTGAAAAAGGGGAGACAGAAGCAGGAGAGGGGCATGGGGAAAAAAGGAAGTACCCGTGACTTACTCTTGCCGGTTTAAATATTAGGGGCCAGCCTAAAACTATGGGGGTGAGGGAGAGCTCTCTATGCTTGCCATTCTATCACCCTACTCCCGAGATCCAGGACTCAGAATCATACTATTAGTATGAGAAACGGAGGTCAAAGAGGCTTCTATTGTCTGGCCTAGAAACCAAACTCCAATTTATTATGTTGTCTCCATGGTAAAACATGTCCCAAATTCCAAAAAATCAACTTAAAAACTTTTGGAACAAAATCCATTCATAAGTTGGAGACTGCCGCAAGTTTACTTTCTGTATAAGATAAGGTTAAAACATTTTATTGCCTTATAAAGAAAATACGTCCTAGTCCTCTCAGAAGGTTTGTATAAAGCTAATTAGAAGCAGATCTGCTGTAATCACCAAAAGTAAGCAATTTTAAACACAGATTCTTTATGATGCTGTGTGCCAGACAAATAGATTTCCTTTTGTGCCAAAGAACCTGATTTGCCGCCATTCTCCTGTGATTAAGCGGGGGTCCTGCCTCACACACAGGCGTCTGTCAAACACTCCCGCCTGCAGGGCTTCCAAAACTGGGACTGCTGGCAGGACTCTGGATGACTGCATGGAAACCACGAGCCTATCCCGGACATTCCTTGGGTTCACTTGCCCCCAGGAAGGCCTTACTTTCAACTGAAAAGCAGTGTAGTCCGGAGCAAAAGCAAAACCAGATACTTAGAGGAAGTGGGAAGAATCCATCCCTGGCAGAAAGGGGGTACCCACCATGATGCAGGGCCTGCCCTGCTCATTGATGGTGGGCGGGAGCTTTAACTGTGAAACATGGCATGCTGACCTCCGGCCCAAGCATCACCTCAATTTCTGCCTAAAGCTCATGAAGAGCCAAGGATTCAGTGCTTAGCTGTGGGAGGGAAGGAGGCATTTCTGGCATCTGTGACAGTATGGCTAGGCTCATCTTTTCTACAGAAGAGGGAAGCAGGACTTACTGTGCTAACATCAGTAACTTACAGTGATAACAAAATGAGCCAAAGGTAACTTGGTCTGATCAAGTGAATGCCTAAAAGGATTATGAACCAAGTACCATCAGAGACAACTGATGCATGACAAAGAATACAAAACCATTGGGCATCTTAGAGGTAACCAACTCTAGATCAATAAAGCTTTACTCTGCTTTCATGTAAGATGCTCAAGAAGAGAGAAATCAGAACATGCGAGGGATGTTAGTGTCTAAGGCACCCGATTTTGATGAGGATAAATATTAAAAAACGGCTTGTAATGACACTCTTAATCCTAAATCTACACTTACTCAGCACGCACACAGTTTTAGAAAGCGGCAATGAGAGAATCTGCACAAACAGGGAAGTCTTACTGTTTCTAGTTCTTTCTGAGTTTCATCCTCCATTCTCCTAATGTCTTCCATTGTCAGATCAATCCACTTGTCAATCCAACAAAAAAGCTGGCGATGAAAGTTTGTAAATATCCTTTTCTCTTGCTTTTAAAACAAAGAAGAATAGTAGTGTAAGACAGCAAAAATCTAAGATTAATAACATATTAACTTTCTACATCCCAATTAACCCATGCAATCTCCATATACCTGGTTTGAAAAGACCACTTTGTCAATTACTGGAAATCTTAGTTCCATCCCATTATCATTTTATAAAAAAAAGAAAAAGAAAAGAAAAATCTCCCTGTGAAATGTGGAACAATCTTTCCTCTCAAAGGTAGCACAATTTATGAGGAACAGAAAAAAACATGGCACGCACATTCTGATCCAACATCAACTCCTGTTAGACCTGATCTATTTTTACCTTTTTCTAAATCTCAGTGACCAAAAGTCAACTTGATTTCTTCTACTATAGACTATCCACGGTCATTCTTCTCTGCAATTCAAAGGAATACTGTGAGGTTGAACATAATGTGTACTGAAACTAAAGAATCATGGTTCTTTGGAATAAGATGTTTATTTAAATCAAGAATTATTACACACTCTCCATCAACTTTTATACTCCCATGTTACTGTCACTACACACACACACACAACCATGTACATAATGAGTGGTTTTAATTGCTGCATTATTTAAATTTTACTTAACTTTCCCAAGAAGAGAGAAAAATGCACTGAACAGTGAGTACTTTAATACTTTTGGACAATCTTCAACTCCAAAATTTTTTTCCACGAACAGAAGGGACTTCATCAATTACACGTGTGACGAACTAGATTGTTAATCTGTTACTATGATCCAAGAGGAAGGAAGGAAGCCAACATTTACAGAGTGCCTGCCGTGGGCCAGCTGTAAGCAGGCCCAAGAGTAACCACAGTTTCCAGCACATTAGGACCCTTTTAAAAAAAATGTCAGAGCGGTTCCAGCTTAACAGCAGAAAAGTTATGGTGGAACAGATACAAGCAGTTGTGGATTCAGAGGCGTACCAGCGGTTTCTTAATAATGGTAATAGAAGAAATAGTCATACTACAGGAAAAGTAGACACCGAAGAAACTTTTCATGTTCCCTATGTGTTTTCAACATGTGTACCTATTTACACAGCTCCAATTCTCCCCTTTCTAGATCAAATTGTCCATGTTACTTTCACTTTAATAAAGAAGACATAAAAAAGAGGTAATCAGAATTCGGATCTTCAGATTCTGTCACCCTAGGTTCAGAGTGTAACTATTCTCAGTAAGGACCTCTAAAGAAAACATCTCACGAGAAAGTGCAAAGTATGTAAGAAAGTGTATGTCAAGAGAGATGTGTGGAAGGGGTGAGTGGGTGGACAGCTGAGCTGGGACAGAGGAGCCCCTCAGCAGGGAAGGCCTGGCCTCTCCCTCCAGCCGATGCCAGGACACCAGGTCCCCCATGCTGTACATGGAAAGGGCTCTCTACAGAACAGCTGGGCAAACCATCGGGAAAGGACTTGGAACAAAAAACTCCTATGCTCTTCCCCAAAGAAAGCCCCTTAAAACCTGCTGGCATTTGTCTTTGCTGTTTCTAGGGGAAAAAAAAAAAGAAACACAGAGAGGAATTATACAGAGGCAATAATTTTTACCTCATAAGTGAGAAAGAGCGGTGCTAACAGAAAATACCCCATTAATAGCTACCTAAACTTAAGTCACTGCATTTTGAACAGCCCTTTACCTTCTGAATGAAGTTTTCTACTTTGCTTTGCAGTCCCCACCACTTGAATTTGATGGTCACCAGCTTATAGGCACACATCTGAGGACAGTCAGAGTTGTTTGCCAGCTCCTTCTAGATGAAGAAAATCGAAAAGGAAAAATCGTGACTTAAATATTTATGTTTTGATGAAAACTGACTGCTGTGTAACGACATCACAGACATACATAAAGAAAAATACAATCTCATATGTGTTTAATTCGGGTATCTGGAAATTCAAAATCATTTTAGCAAAAGCAGCGGTACTCCCCTGCTGCAAACCCTCCTTCCACAGACGAAGTTACTTCCTGGCTCTGCAGTTTAATAGGTGCATTGTTGTGCCTCTAACTACACTGGTTCAGATTTCATATTAAATACCCAATGTGATCCAGCTCGCGCCAACAGTGAGCTCGGGTGCGTCAGGGTGCTCCTGACGCCATTATCGCATTCCCACCATGGCTGTGCTGAGGCTCCACGAAGAACCGTCGGGAAGCATAGTCTGCTCCTAGGTCTTCTAACACTGGCACAGGGAGCGGCACTGTTAACTGAGGTTGTTACAGTAAAAAAAAAAAGGGGGGGGGGGAAACTATTGAAAAAAAAGGAACAAGGGAGAGGGGTGGGGGCTATCTGGATTAAAAGAGACTAAAGTAATAAAATACAATGTCTATAATGTACTTTCAGAAAACATTAAAAAGCAATTAGAATTTGGAACTTCAGATTATGTCAACCTAGGTTCAGCCAAAAATCTTGTAAATATAATGCATTTGTGTAGAGAGAGGGGGAGAGGGAAGGAGAAAAGAGAAGAGGAGAGGGGACAGTGAAGCGCTAACAACTGGTGAATCTAGGTAGAGGTGCTCATTGTTCTCTCCGGTTTTTTCGGCGAATTTTGAAATTTTTATTGTAAAAACGGGGCAGGGGACTGCAATCTATGTATTACTGTCCATTTCTGTGAAACTGAGTCAGACTTCTGCTTTGGGAAGTTCAAGGCACTAGCATGTTTATTTTGAGAGAAGGGTTAAGGAGGGGGTGAGCCAGGAGCTTCATGTGGGTCTTCCAACGTGTGTGTGCAGGAGACCAAAACCCTCCTGGGCCGAGCCAGAAGAGCGCCTGGGACGGGTTCATGCCAGCGAGCAAAAGCAGACACGGTCCTGCCTCTGGAGCTCACGGTCTGCATGGAAAGGACCATTCGGTAAACACTCAGCCCCAGGGCTGGTGTACTTACAAGATGAAAGCTATGTCTCAGGACCCTTTTGCCAGGTCTCAGTAAAACAGTGTGAGCTCCGTGCTTAGCTGGGGGAACTCAAAGGCTTAATACATATTACTTCTCGCTCTCCTTTATTCTTTCATAGAGTAGGAATTACCAGTTTGAGTTTGCAGAACAATTTTAAATAAAATTTCTCAAAAGGGTACAAAGTCATGTGCAACACTATGGGGGCACTTTTTATAAACACTGAATTGGTGAGTGAAAAGAGAAATGGAGTCTTTTATACAAGGGTTCTTCCCCCTTCTTCACCACTGTTCTCAGCTTCACCCCACACTCAAGACACTACAATGCCAGCATCGGTCACACCGTGTGCCACTGTCCCTTCTTGTCAGCTGCAACCCATTCACACATCCCACTTTCAGGAGGTTCATTGTCTGTAGCAAATATTTGTTCCATTCAGCCATATGTACATACATTTAAAAAATCATGAATTTCTAGGTTATGTTCTAAAACCTCAAAACTATTCTTCATTTATGCAATCATAGCACCAGACCACATTTCCCCTCAAATCCTCAATAATGTTCCAGTTTCAAGTGAATTCTAAAGACAGGATAAATGAAAAAATTCTTTCTTGGTATTATTATTAATATGATTCCACGTTTTATAGAGTCCTGCATGATTGATCAACTTTTCTCAGAAAATCTCTTCTGTCATAACATTTCATCCTATTAATGAGCTGGTACATGGGTTAAATCAGTGAGGTAGCACCATTTGCATTTAAATGAAAACATGATATATACAGCAAACTGTCCTTGTACAGGTGAGTTCTATGTCAACAGAAGAACTTGGTTAGCTGAGCTCCATTTTCCCTCCCATAAAAGAGTACTAATGTTAAAAGTCAGCATGGATGTGTATACAATCCCATACACTTTATGAACAAGTTTAACTCAGCAAGTATTAAGAGGGTGTCATCTACCACCCTGTGTTAGGTGTTGTAGAGGACACAAAAGTGGCCAGTAGAGAAGAGTAAATTACATGTGCATAAATAACGATAAAACCACTATCCTTGGTGCTAATGAGCTCTACCAGAAGGGGACACCCTTCTGTTGCTATTGCTGTGGCCCTGGCCTGAGACATATTTGCAACCCCCCGTCCCCCTGCAGGCCCCACGCACTTCAGCTGGGCTCCTGTGTGTGGAAGTAGCCAGCCAGTCAGCCTTCCACAGGACACAACTAGCTTCTGAATGCCCAGCCTCACTGAAATTATCACAAGACTGACCTTTCACAGATCATTTTTTTCAATAAGCCACGAGCCACTGTTGAGGTACTCTCTAATCCAATGAGTGTCACTGAAAACCTTCATATGAAACACAGTTTTGGTATGAAGAATATAGTACTTAAACACCTGTTAAATAGTGTTAGACTAGGAATAAGGGGACATGGGTTGCAGTTCCCATTATGCAAAGTAACTTCCTATGTAAGGCGGGTAGGATCCTTAACCTCTCTGGGCCTTACTTCTCTGTCAGTAAAAGGAAAGGCTCAACTTTTCATCTTCCACCGACGTGATACTAAAAGCAAGGATGAGTGAACTCAGTTCGTCCAGGGTCAGGGGTGGCCCAGTGCTGCAGGCGGTAAGCACATGTCCTTGACATCTGATAGCCTGTCTTGTCCTGCAATTTCCTTTAATTTTGCATTTTATAATGGGCTTAGTGCAATATTCTACCCCCCCACCGCCTCCATGCACTTGGGCGAAATTTTCTCTACTGCTGAGAACCTCTGATGCACCACTGATTAGCCCTAAGATACCTTCCAGACGGAACATTCCAAGGTCCTATTAATTACAGGCTGCTGATCGCTTCGTTCCGAAACTCCGAATCATTGCACACCTTGTGCTAAACGAAAACCTTGGGTGTTACCAGCAGAACACCAACTCCTCAGAATTCTCCTACCATTTTATAAAAACAGCAGGATGAAGCATGGTTCTAATTAAAGAGTAAGCTAAATTTAATACAAATATGCCCATACCACACTTGGGCTCCAAGAGCAGAGCATACACACATGACTTCAACAATTACCTAAGTCTATTTCTCACATTCTTTCTAGTGACTCTGGCAGTCTGTTCAAATCAATTAAGGTAATACTGGTAATTTACAAACTAACACTGATCTATAAAATTTAGTTTAAGTGATGGGACAAAATGAACCTGTTCTCTGAACTATCTTCCCCAGATTTAAAATGTGTATTCCAGTCTCACTGGCTTTTTGTTTTCCATAAAACTTGTAAGTAACTATTAAAGAAAATAAAAATTCAGGGAATATGTACCAATTAAAAAACAAGTAAACAAAGAGCCTGCTGCCTTTATCTCTTGGCCTAATTCTCTATAGTATCAACACCTTACAGCATAAGGCACAGAGGTGACTTAGAGAAACATAATCTCAAATAACCAGAGGAAAAAGCCGAGAACAAAGAAGTTATGTATTTTTTCCTTCAATTAATATATATGTGATATTTAAGGTCTCACTCAATTCTTAAAATGACTCATGCAATTCGCCTCTTAATTTGAACTATGTATGGCCTTAAGACTAATGGTTAAATTTAAAAATGGCTTAAAAAGTCTCCACACTTAGGGGTGCCTGTGGTTGGCTCAGTCAGAAGAGCACATGACTCTTGATCTGGGGCCCTGAGTTTGAGCCCCAGGTTGGGTGTAGAGATCACTTAAATAAATGAACTTAAAAAAAAAAAAGTATCCATACTTAATGGTGAAACCAAAAATAGACAGACTGCCTAGATGTAGTTAAGTGAAAGCTGAAACGATACTTTTGGCACCATCTTCTTGGGGTAGAATCTGACCACACATCTTTACAGAGCCTTAAATTTGTTTGTTTCCTATGTATACCACATACCCTTTAACCTGGTAATTCCACCTTCAGAGATGTATTCCAGTTCATCAGGTAAGGAAACACCACCACTACGGATTTATTTATAATCACAAAAACCTGGACTTAATGGTGAAGTACTTCATAAGCCTTCCAAACAATGGGCTACTAAGCATACAGCCATTAAAAACCATCTTTTCAAAGAATGCTTAATAATGTTAAAAAAAAAAAAAAGGCCTAATCTGAACAGAAACAGGTATCTGTGCATGGCATAAACACTTATTAACAAAACTACGTTAACTCAGGAAATATAACAAATAGCAATAATTAAAGGGTGAGACTATAATTATTTTTACTTTCTTCTGTGTACAATTCTTTATTTTCAAAACCTAATAAATATTTATCATTTTGTAATCAGGAAAAAAAACCAATATGCTTCAAAAATACACTACAGAAGTTTTTGCCCTAAGCTGAGTGTTTTAGGACAAAGAATTACTTTGCCCTAAATTATCTGGGTACTATTTCAAATCTTCATTTTCTTTGACTATAAACAATCTAAATGTTTTCCTGCTTCTTTTCATTTTGATGTTTAATAAATAAAACCTACACAAAATCAAGCTAACAGCTAAATTAAGATTTAAATATCTAACTTTAGTCCAGTCCATACTACATTTTTCCTAATCTTAAACTTCTAAAGTAAAAATGAGGTACACATGCAGAGTAAAATATGATATACTCCTCAGAGTTATTAGAAATATTCTTGTGAAAAAATGATTTTTTATTTTGATTTGATTTTCATTTACTATCATTTGAAAAAAATGATATTTTATATTTCACAAGAAATATTCTTGTGAAAAAATAACTTTTAAAATGTGAACGATCTCAACGGAGCAAATATTTGGGACTCCACATTCAGAGGAATGTTCTAGGATCCACAGAACTCAAAGGAGCTCCAGCTTGTCTGCCCAGCTCTCCGGAGGCTCACTGGGGCCGAGCTGAGCTTCCTCTCTAGCCTTA